TTATATATTTTGGCGCTCTTTCATTGGTAGCATAGATATTTAATATGGTTATTTCATCTTGTTCAATTGTCCCTTTAATCATGAGATAATGTCCATCTTTATCTATTATGCTGGCTTTTGTCTTAAAGTTTATTTTATCCTAGATTAGCACTGCCACTCCTGTTTGCTTTTTATTGCAATTACCTTGGTATATTTTTTCCCATCCTTTCAATTTTAATCTGTTTGTCTCTGTTTGTGAGATGCGTCTCTTGCAGATAGCATATTGAAGGATCTTGTTTTCTTATCCATTCTGCCACCCTCCGTCTCTTAACAGGTGCATTCAATCCATTTATGTTCAGTGTAATTATCGATAGGTATTGATTAGTTGCTGTCATTGTATTTGTTTTTTTGTGGTGTTGCTGCTTCTTTGTTCTGTGTGTCTTTTTTTGTTGAATTCATGATTTTTGTGTTCTTTTTTGTGCATTTCCTAATAGTTTTAATGTTTTCATATTCTTCTTGGATTCTCCTTTTCTTGGTATGTTGTGAAGTGTTAATTTTCTTTGAGGTTGCCTTATAGTCCATTGACTTTTCTGTCCATTTAGTGCAGTCTATTTTATCCTGTAATCGATCTGACCTTCTCACTGTCTGGATCTCTGTTCCTACGTATTCACCTTCTCTTGCATTGTACTTGTTTTGGTCATAGACTGACCTCCCAGAGTCTATGAGTTTGTTCTTATAGTTTTGTTTTGTTAACAATTCTTGTTTCTGTTGACTTAATTCAGGGAGGTGCTGCCACGTACGTCAATCTTTGGTTGTTGTCTGTTCTTGTTGGTTCTAAGTCCACAGAACTCCCTTTAGGATGTTTTGTAGCGTAGGGTTGGCTTTGGTGAAGTCCCGTAGTTTCTGTTTATCCTCGAATGTTTTGATTACACCATCATATTTGATTGATAACTTTGCTGGATAAAGGATTCTTGGCTGGCAATTTTTTTCTTGCAGGGTTTTATATATTTCTCCCCATTGTCGTCTTGCTTGCATGGTTCCTGCTGAGAGATCTGAGCTTAGTCTGACTTGCTAGCTTATGTTTGTGACCCTTCTGTTTTCTGTTGCTTCTTTCAGAAGCGTCTCCTTGTCTTTGAGTTTGGAGAGCTTGACTATGATATGTCTTGGTGATTTTCTTTTGGGATCCACTCTTCCTGGACTTCGTTGGGCTTCTGGTATGTTTATCTTTTCACTTTTGAGGATGTTAAAGAAATTTTCTTCCAGCAGTTCTTTGACTATTTTCTCTATGGACTCATGTGATTCTTCTTGTTCTGGAATGCCAATAATTCTTAGGTTATTCCTCTTCATGTTGTACAACATGAATCTTAGACCTTCCTCTGAATTTTTTACCCTTTTTGTGTTTGTTCTTCTATCTTAGTGGTATTGAGAGACTTGTCTTCCAGGTCACTTATTCTTCCTTCCATTTCATCTATTCTACTCTTCTGCCCTTACAGGGTGGTTCCTATTTCTGTTATTTTATTATTGATTATTTGGACCTCTTTCTGTAGGTTTTCGATTGTTACCAATGCTGTATCTATCTTGTTTGATTGTTCCGACTTCTTCCTTATTTTTCTCAACTCCATTGTAAAGTGTTTTGAAACATTTTATAATCATTTTTCTGAATTCTTTCTCAGGCATTTCCAAGGCCTGCTCTACTTCCAGCATTGAGACCAGGTCTACTTCTGGATCATTTGTCTCAGATATTTTATCTTTTTTCTGGACATATGCTGATATGGTCATCTGCTTTTGCTTCTTGGACATGTTTAATGTTTATCTGTGGCCCTAATACTTAATTGAGTATGTATTCTGGTAATTTTTTATGTGTTCCGATTGCTTCCAGGAAGATGTGATCAGGATGTGGTCTTCCCTTTTCACTCTTCTTATTGCTTAACTCAGAGTAAGTTTCTCAGATGTTGCCTGTTTCCCTGGTATATGACAGCTGGTATTGGTTGTTGCCTGGGTTTTGGTGTTTTTAAAGTGTTATTGCAGCTTGGCTATTTGGCAGCAGTTGCTGATTCTTGTCGTGTAATGTAGGGAGACAAAGAGTCCTCCGATAGCAGAAGGGAGGCTATGTGACAGCCAAACAACCCCAGTCAGGTAGAAAACAAAACCAAAGTCAAAATAAAAAACAAAAGCGATAACAAAGCAAGACACAAAAAATAACCGATGGGGGGGGGGGGAGGAAAGAAATGCAGCACCAGCGAAAACAAGATTGAAAACAGCAGTCTCTAATCACACACACACACAAAGACCCAGAATAGGGTTTCCAAGGAGCAGCTGGTGAGCTCGAACCACCAACCTTGCAGTTCAAAAGGCTTTGCATTCTGGCACATTAACCCACAGGGCCACAGCAGGATTGCTTTGTTACTGGTCGTAAAAAACAACTCAAGTCGTCTCAGCTTGGGCTTGTCTGCACCTTGGTGGGCGGGTCTGAACTTCGGAGGCTGGGCAGAGTGCTGGCCTAAGCCGAGGGAGTGGAGGGTGGGGGTAGTAGCTACAGGTAGATGGTGTCTGTGTCTGATGATGTCAGAAATGACTCTTTCTGTCTCCCTGTGCCATGGGCACCCCAAATTGCCCTATATCAATGCTGATAATGCCTATCTTGGGAATGAGGCCCCGCTGGGAAGGACTACATTAGTTCCTGTGGCTCCGATCGCTCTCTGGGAGCGTCCGCCCTCTGAATGGGTCCACTGAAGCCCCACACTCCAAGCTCTGCAGTGGGCGGAGATAGTCCCTGGAGCGGGAGCCAAGTGCAGGCGGGCAGAAGCTCAAAATGCCTGTAACTCCTCAGCAATTCGATCTTTTATAAAAGCAAGTTCATAATGTTGGAGCCTAAAGTCTTATGTTTGCCCAAAGGCTGTCTGTCTACCAGGAGGGGGCCTCCCCTGTGCAATACCACCCACCGCTTTCTCCGGAGCCTGCATACCTGTGCTGGAAGTCCTTGTGACTCTTTTTCAGTCACATTTTATGCTGCTATTTCAGGAGAGGGAAGTGAAAGTCTAGCCTTCATGTTTTTAACCAGGCTGGCTATGCAGTCCCATAGGGCTTGTGTTTAGGAGGCCCTCATGTGTCAATGCTCTTATAATTCTTAATTATATTGATTTTGAACTTCTGTTTTGTAGGTGAAATCCCAAGGGACAATGGAACATATGTGTGTGAGTCAAAGAGATGTACGTAATATAAGATTGTTGTGGTTCCTGCACATCCATTCATATACAGCACTCACAATGCTCTGTGAGCACAGAATCCAGTGGAACCATGATGTGTGGATGTTCAGTGGGAATCATAGCTAGTACAAGGTAAGCATCTTATTGAAGCCAGTACAGTAATTGCACTGAAAACAATGACACTGAAGGAGAGGGAAAGATTGAGCAGCCTTGCATTCAGTACTTCAATAAGCTGAAGTCAGACAGTATTAGAATGTGTGCATGCCATGAAGTGAAATAAAAACAGTCAAGTTAGTTTTGTGGTGTGTTTCCATTGTTTTAGTAAGAACATAATGTAGGTAAACGTGAGTTATGAAATATGGATTCAATAAACTTGATGATTCTCATATATAAGTTAAATGTGCTTATATTTATATCTATAGCTAGAATTTTACAATATAAACCTGAATGGTGATATTCATGTTAATATAGTTTAAAATTTTCTTTTTCTTTATTTGTTGTTAAATGCTGTTGAGTCAGTTCTGACCCATAGCAACCCTGTATACAGGGTCTCTGAGGAGCAGCTGGTGAAGTTGAACCACCAACCTTGAAGTTCAAACCAAGCTTGCAGTCCAGCACATTAACCCACAATGCTACACTAGGACTTGTTTACTTAGAATGACATTACATAGCAAACAAAAACATGATAAGTTGAGAAGGGGAAAAACTAAAAGGGTAGAAATACTTTATGTTACTGCATTTAAAGTCAACTTTTTCCTGTTTTGAACAGGGAACCCCACATTTTCATTTTGCATTAAGTCCTACAAATTACATAGCAAGTCCTAGATCAAGCTGAGAACCCTTAAAAACATTTCTTACAGGTTACACAGGAAATTTAAATGATAGTGATTCTATATTTATCTCTAGTGACTTAATTCATTAGAATATCTGAAGTAAATATGGAAAATATTATGATTTGGTGTAATGGGGGTTGGGTACATAAATGTTCATGACATTATTCTCTAGGCTTTCCTAGATGCTTGAAATATTTCACAAAAACACTCTCATTTTAGTAAGATGACATAATGAGAAATGACAAGAAGTATGGATGAAAAGAAGTGTGCAGGACAGGCAAGAAGAGCACTGTAGGGCATATACTCTGTGTTATTACAAATGATCTTACCATGGTGACCTTGTCAGCATAATGTTCCAGAGTCAATTTCAGCATGCAGGCTGCCTCAGACCTAATTTTATTATTATCTTTAGACAGTTTCATCATGAGATTCCACACAAAATCAGTCAGCAATGGTGGCATTAAGTTTTGTCCGACATGCTGAAAACAAAAAAGGAGAATTGTGACTTCAGTTCTCACACCCACACCAACATAAAAGACCATGAAACTCAGGTGTCTGAATGGAAGGTGCAGGGCTCATAGGGATGCATTATGGCTCTCTTGGGCTCTAGGAGCATTAGCCTTCAGGTGTCACCTCCTCAATAAAATTGTATTTAAAAGGTTGACTTTACAACTGCCTTGAGATTGAAAAATCAATTAATCCATTAAACCAACAAAAGAGTTTCCTTTGAGTTCACTCTGACTCATGGCTACCTCATGTGAATCAGATTAGAACTGTAATAGGTTTTTAAACAAAATCTAAATCACAATATTATTATGGTATTTGATGAGTAATTTATAACAGAATTGAATAGGTTATTTATTGATGACTCAATTAGTTTTGCAAAATAACCAGAAGTTCCCCATGAAGAAGCAGCATAACAATTAAGAATCACCTACCTCATTTGCAATCAACAAGTATTAAATAAAACAATACAAACTGCTATACTTGGGAATAATAAGTACAACTCTTATTAGGACAGATGAATGCTCTCTATATCATTTACTCTTCGTTTCTCTGGGTTTAAAAGAAGGAGGCTTATATATTTATTTTTCCACCACTTGCCTGTCATTTTGTCTTACTGTACTGGCTTATGTGCTGCTATGATGCTGGAAGCTATGCCAGTGAAATTTAAAGTACCAGCAGGGTAACCCATGGTGAACAGGCTTCAGCTCACCTTCCAGATTAAGACAGATTAGGAAGAAGGAGAAGCAAACTACTTCAGAACTTTTAGCCACTGAAAACCTTGTGAATATCAGCAGAATACTGTCAGATATAATGCCAAAAATGAAAACATTATAAATAGCCCCAGAATATTGTAAGATATAGTGCTAGAAGAAGAGCCCCTCAACTTGAAAGGCACTCAATACAACTGGGAAAGAGCTACCTCCTCAAAGTAGATCTGACTGGGATGACAAGAATGAAGTAAAGCTTTCAGGGACTTCATTTGCTGGTGGGACACAACTACAAATGAAGAGAAACAGCTGTGAACATCATTAATAATCAGAAGATGGAATGTATGAAGTACAAATTTAGGAATGTTGAAAGTTATAAAAATTAAATGGAATGCATAAAGATTGACATCTTAGGCATTAGTGAGCTGATTGGCCATTTTGAATCTGACAATCATATGGTTTATTATACTGGGATTGACAAATTGAAGAGGACTAGTGTCACATTCATCATCAAAAAGAACATTTCAAGATCTAGCTTGAAGTAAATTCTGCCTGTGATAGGATACTATCCAGTCTGAAATTGGTAAAACAATCATGATGTGATGATAATTATTGGTGATTGGGATTTAAATGTTGGAAACAAAGAGGAAGGATCAGTCACTGGAAAATATGGCCTCGGTGATAGAGATGATACTGGAGATTGCATGATAGGATTTTGCAAGGCCAATGATTTATTCATTGCAAATACCTTTTAAAACAGCATAAAAGGCAGCTGTGCACATGGACCTCACTAAATAGAATACACAAGAATCAAATTGACCACATTTGTGGGAAGAAATGGTGGAAAAGCTCCATATCATCAGCCAAAACAAGACCAGGGGATAATTGCTCATATGCAAGTTCAGGCTGAAGCTGAAGAAAATTAAAACACATCCATGAGAGCCAAAATATGACCTAGAACATATCCCACCTGAATTTATAAATCATCTTAAAACAGATTTGATGCCTTGGGCACTAATCACAGAAGACCAGAAAAGCTGTGGGTAACATCAAGAAAATCATACAGGAAGAAAGTAAAAGGTCATTAAAAAGATAGAGAAGAGGGGGCGGGGCTTGATGGTGGATAGGTTAGAAGTGCAGTGAAGTTAGTCATCAGCAATACTACAGAATACCAGGCGAAGTAGGTTCAAAGCAGAGCTGCAAAACTCTGAACCACATATGTAGGAATATTTTAAAAATCTGAAGGCTTATAGCCAGTGGAATTCGTAGCGGAAGTAAGAAATCATGTACTTTTGAATTTGACAGCCCTGGCAGCCAGGGCAAAAACTTGGCAAGACCAAATGGCAAGACCAAGTGGGGAAATAGACCCACCATGGAATAATGCCACAGGAACCTCAGAGCAAAGGTGGACAATATACTTTGTTGATTTTGCTTTGTTATGATTTTTTTTTTTTTTGTATCTGTTCATTGGCCCCCCACTGTTTGTGCACCTCCATTCTGGTGACTAGAGGGGTACCTGAGCGAGTGGACACCCCACCCCCACCACTGGTGGGTTCTTCTGCCATGCATGTGCACAAATACTTTCAGCCCAAGAGCTGACCCCAAACTGTTTTTTTAATAGGGAAAAGGCCAGAACAAGGGATGTGGAGAGGGAAAGAGAGTTTAAAAACAAAACAGGCCTAAAATAAAATTATATCCTGAAATAGGACATTAAAATCATACTCATCCCTTTCTGCAATTATAGACTACAGTATCCAATCTAGTTTTTTGTTGTTGTTGATGTTGTTTTGGGTGGTTATTTTTTTCTTATGTTTTTTGCTGTTGCTGTTTTTCTGTTTTGTGCTCCCCCTTTTACCTTTCGGGGACTCTTTCTCTCCCTATATTACCCAAGAAGAGATAGCAACTGATGCCATATAGTCAAGCTACAATCACACTCTATAGAACACCAAAACCCAGGCAACAACCAATACCAACTGCCATACACCAGGGAGGCAGACAACACCTGTGAAAGTTACTCTGAGTCAAGCAATAAGAAGAGTGAAAAGGGAAGCCTGCATTCTGATCACATCTACGAGGAGACAATCAGAAAGCTTATAAAATACCAACACACACTCAATTAAATATTAAGGCCACAGATAAACACTATCAATGCATCTAGTCATAGATAATTTTTACTGCACAATATAGTGTATATAACAGTGTTTGCCTCTGTTGTCTTTAACTCTTGCACTCCTCTCAGTGGCTTCTTCTGCCTCCATCACTTTATTTTGTCAACCTCCCTCTTACTGTATATTGCCTTTCCCTTCACCCAAGTTAACACATCTACCATTTAGCCAGTAACTTATGCTCCTTTTCTTCCCCTTTTCCCTTCAACCATCAGAGAAAGTTTCTTTTTGTTTGAAAACCTTTTCTCCACTTTTTACAATAGTCTCATTCAATATTTGTCCTTTTTTGATTGACTAATTTCATTCAGGACTCCTGGTGTGGTGCTGCAGGATAATGCTCTGGACTGCAAGGTTAGTTTGAACCATACAGTGGGTGATTCAAACCCAATAGCCACTCCTTGGAAACCCTATACAGAGTCGCTATGAGTCAGAACTGACTCGATGGCACTTAGCAACAACCATTTCCCTCAGTATAGTGTCTTCTAAGTTCATTCATGTTATGAGGTGTTTCATAGATCCATTGTTTTTCTGTATTGTTGGAAAGTATTCCATTGTGTGTTAGTACTCTAATTTACTTATCAATTCTTTCACTGATAACCATTTAGGTTGCTTTCTTCTTTTTGCGATTGTGGATTGTACTACAGTGAACATGGCATATACCTATTCGTGCCATAACTCTTATTTCTCTAGAATATATACCAAATAGAGGTACATGCTGAGTCATGTGGTTTTTCTATTTTCAACATTGAGGAAGCATGAGATATATTTACTTAAAAGTGTAACTTTTGTAATTAATTGCCAGTTATAGTAGTAATAAGGAGCCCTGGTAGCATAGTGGATTACAAGCTGGGCTGCTAACTGAAATATCAGCAGTTCAAATCTAACTATCACTCCTTGGAAGAAAGATGAGACTTTCTGTTCCCATAAAGATTTAAAGCCTTGGAAATCCTATACAGACAGGGTTGCTGTTTGTATAGGGTTGGAACTAATTCAACAGCAAACCACCACTACCACCAAGAGTACTAATACACTTTTTTTAAAAAAAGTTATAGGACAAGTGAGGCTACATTACCTGAGCAATTTTAGCTTTGTCTTGTTGCAAGATCTTGGGAAGGTACTCCAACTCAGAGGGACAAGATGTGATGCTATGCCTTCCAGATTTTTTATAGAATGTATATTTTTCAAAAAAATCTGCTGTATTAAGGAAAACAATTTAAGGATTTAATTTGATCACCATTCATTTTATGGCATTGCAATCTCCACTTTTCTTTTCTGGGCCAATAACTGGAGCTCTGGAGTTTTCTGAATATTTAATATGCTGCTAGCAGTTTTGTTGTGTTGTTAAGTGCTGTTGAGTTAGTTTCTACTCATAGCAACCCTATATAGGGTTTCCAAGCTTATAAATCTTTACAGAAACAGAAAGCTCATTTTTTTCCCAAGAAGGAAGAACTAACTGCTGGGTTCGAACCACCAACCTGTGGTTCACAGTCCAGTGCATAGCCTACCCAGCCACCTCGCTCCAGATATATATTTGTTGTTGTTGCTAAGTGTCGTTGAGTCAGTTCCGACCCATGGCGACCCTTGTGTGTGTGTATATATATATATATATTCCTGGTATAGCGCTGTGGGTTAATGTGATAGACTGCAAAGACATTTGAACTGTAAGGTCGGCAGTTCAAGCTCACCAGCTGTTCCACGGAAACCCTATACAAGGTTGCTATGGATCAGAATTGACTTGATGTCACTTAACAACAACATATATATATAGTTGTTAAGTTCTGTCAAGTCAGTTCTAACTCATAGCAACCCGGTATAGGGTTTTCAAGGAGTAGCTGGTGAACTTGAACTGCTGACCTTGAGGTTCAAACCGACCTTGCAGTCCAGCGCATTAATCACAATGCCATACCAAGACTCTCTCTATATGTATTTAAATATACTGGTATATGCAACCATCAGTTTATGTATTCACCTGTTGAACATTAGGGTTTTTGTAATACTAAAAATACTAAACCTATAATGTTTATTAAATTATGCTTTTATGTTTGGCTATTACAAATAAAGGTGCTATAGACATTCCTGTACAAGTTGTTTTATAAATACTTGTTTTTACTTATCTTAGATAAATGTTGTGGAATGACTGGGTCACATGGCAGATATATGTTTAACTGTTTAGGATATTGTCAAATCATTTTCCAAAGTTGTTTTTTCATTTTACATAGACACCAGCCATAGCTGAGAGTTCAGTTGCTTCACATATTGCGAATACATGATATGGTCAGTTTCTTTAATATGATTGTTGTTGTTGTTAGGTGCCATCGAGTTGGTACCGACTCATAGCGACCCTATGTACAACAGAACGAAACACTGCCTGGTCTTGGGCCAGCCTCACAATTGTTGCCATGTTTCAGCCCATTGATGCTGACACCTGGCCAATCCATTTTTTGGGGGGTCTTCTTCTTTTTCTCTGACCCTCCACCTTACCAAACATGATATCCTTCTCCAGCCACTGGTCCCTCCTGACAATATGTCCAAAGTATGAGAGACCAGGTTTGGCCATCCTGGCCTCCAAGGAGCACTCTGGCTGCACTTCTTCCAAAACAGATCTGTTTGTTCTTTTGGCAGCCCATGGCACTTTCAATATTCTCCTCCAACACCATAACTCAAATATGGTCTTCCTTATTCATTGTCCAACTTTTGCATGCATATGAGGTTATTGAGAATACCATGGCTTGGGTCAGGCACACTTTAGTCCTCAAGTGGACATCTTTGCTCTTCAACACTTTAAAAAGGTCTTATGCAACAGATTTGCCTAATGCAATACGTCATTTGATTTCTTGACTGCTGCTTCCATGAGTGTTGATAATTGATCTAGGAAAAATGAAGATTGACAGCTTCAATCTTTTCTCCATTGAGAAGAATGTTGTTTATTGGTTCAGTGGTGAAGATTTTTATTTTCCTTACATTGAGATGCAATCGATACTGAAGGCTGTGCTCTTTGATCGTCATCAGTAAATATTTTAAGTCCTTTTCACTTTCAGCAAGCAAGGTTATGTCATCTTCATATCGCAGGTTGTTAATGAGTCTTCCTCCAATCCTGATGCCACGTTTTTCTTCATAGAACCCAGCTTCTTAGATTATTTGCTAAACATCCAGGTTGAATAAGTATGGTGAAAGAATACAACCTTGTTGCACACCTTTCTTAATTTCAAACTAGTCAGTGTTCCCATGTTCTGTTCGGACAACTGCCTCTTGGTCCATGTACAGATTCTTCATGAGCACAATTAAGTATTCTGGAATACTCATACTTCTCAATGTTGTTCATAGCTTATCATGATCCACACAATCAAAAGCCTTTGCATAGTCAATAAAGCACAGGTCAACATCTTTCTGGTATTCTCTCCTTTCAGCCAAGATCCATCAGACATCAGCAATGATATCCCTCATTTCACGTCCTCTTCTGAATCCAGCTGGAACCGGCTGCAAGCATACATTGACAGAGAACTTCCCGAGGTTCAAGCTGGATTCAGAAGAGGATGTGGGACAAGGGATACCAGAACTCTAGCCACCCTGATTTTCTGAACTCCCAGTCTGTCTCTTCAACTGAGAGAGACCATTTGACTCTGCTACAGCTTAGAAACTTACTCTAGCTGGTAACCTCAGGCAATTGTGGGACCCAAAATATGTGTTTCCATTTCTCAGCAATCTTCATTCTTTGTTATCCAACTTCTTGAGAAATATCTTTATATCTATAATTGGCTTTTATTTCAGTTATTTCTAGAGGAAAGTTGTCATGAATTGAATTATGTCCCCACAATTTGTACTTTGTGCCAATTTAGATAAGCCATGATTCCCATATATGTACCTGTCCTCCATTTTGACATCTAATACAGTTATCCTCCATTTGTGATGTATTGTAAATCCTGACCTCTGTGTTAGTTAAAGGAGCTCTGGTGGCATAGTAATTACAAGTCAGGCTGCTAATCTCATGTCAGCAGTTGGAAACCAATGATTCCATGGGAGAAAAATGATGTTTTCTGCTCCTGTAAAGATTTGCAGCCTTAGAAACGCTGTACAGGGTTGCTATGAATCAAGCTGACTCTATGGTACATAACCACCAGCACACGTTATTGAAACAGGATTGTTGTTGTAAAGCGCCATCAAGTTGGTTCAGTGTAGTATGGCCCTGTATAGGAGCAGTTGTTGAGTTTGAACTGCGCACCTTGTGGTTAGCACTCCAGTGCTTATCCTACGGTGCTGTACTGTGTTATGTTAATGAGGATTTGGTTATATTTGCTATATTAATGAGGCAGGAACAGAATGAGATGCAACACCCTTACTGAGATCACAGTCGTGATCCAACGTAAGAGAAAAGATGAGGCTGCCTGCTCCCATAAAGATTTCCAGTTTTGAAAACCATAGATAGGGTCTCTATGAGTCAAAATCAACTCAATGGCAGTGAGTTTGGTTTTGGTTTGCATATGGTAGGTCTAGCTTTAATTTTTGAGGAATCACCACACTGTTTTCCACATAGACTGTGTCATTTTGTATGTCCTCCAGCAATGGATGTTTTTGTTGTTGCATGCCACTGCATCAGTTCTGACTCACAGTGACTCTAAATAGGCCTTCCAAAACTGGTACGTTTAAACTGCTGTCCTTGTGATTGGCTGTCCATTGCTTATCCTACAACTCCACACCAACAATAGATAAGATAATCTTACCTATCCTGTTTTTGTTGTTGTTGTTAAGTGCCATCAAGTCATTTATGACTCATAGGGATCCTATGTACAACAGAACCAAACACTGCCCAGGCCTGCACCATCCTCACAATTGCTGTTATGTGTGAGTCCATTGTTGCAGACACTGTATTAGTTCATCTCGTAGGGAGTCTTCCTCTATTTCACTAACTCTAAATAGAATCTTCCTCTATTTCACTAACTCTCTACCAAACATGATGTCCTTCTCCCAAACGGATCCCTCCTGACAATATGTCCAAAATATGGGAGATGAAGTCTCACATGCCTCGCTTCTAAGGAGCATTTTGACTGTACTTCTATACATTTTGGCTGTGTAGAAACCTAATTGATTTTTGTTTGTTGACCCTGAAATTTGCTAAATTTCTCTATTATCTCTAAAATATGTTTTGTTGACTGTGGGATTTCCTATGTACAGGATAATATAATCAGTGAATAGAGATAATTTTACTTTTTCTTTCCAATATGAATATTTAAAAATTTATTTCTCTTGTCTTATTGTTCAGTCTGGGACTTCTAATACAATGTTGAACATAAAGGAATATTCTAATATAATACTGGATGGAATTTGTCCTCTTCCCAATTTCAAGGGGAAAGCTCTAAGGCTTCCTCCTTTAACTATGATGTTAGATGTTGACTTTCCATATATGCCCTGAATTTTACTGAGGACTTTCCTTTCTATTCCAGTCTTCTTGGGGGTTTTGAATTCTTTTTCTGCCTTTGCAGAAATGATCATGTAGTTATTTTCCTTTCTTCTGTTGATTTGGTGCATTCTAATGATTGAGTAATTCCTGAATTCTTGGAATAAATTCCACTTGATCATGGTATATTTCTCTTTTAATATGCTGTTAGATTCTGTTCACTTGTATTTTGTTGCTGATTTTTTTTCATCTATATTCATAAGAGATACTGGCCTGTAGTTTTCTTTCTTGTGTTGTCTTTGGTTTGGTCATAGGGTTATGTTTGCTTCATAGAATGACTTGTTGTTGTTGTTAAGTGCCATTGAGTTAATCCTGACCCACAGCAACCCTGTATACGGTTTCCATGGAGCAGCTGGTGAGCTTGAATTAGGAAGAGCTTAAATAGTATTGTGGTAATTCTTCTCTAAATGTTTGGTAGAATTCTCCAGTGAAATGGTCTGGTCCAGGACTTCTTTGTTTTTGTTGGGAGGTTTTTTTTTTATCAATGATTCGATCTCTTCACATTTAACAGTCTGTGGAAACTTTCTATTTCCTCTTAAGTTCATTTGGGTAGGTTTTGTGCTTCCAAGAATTTGTTCATTTTTTGTAGTGATCCAATTGTTGCAGTTCAGTTATTCATATGTTATAATCCCCTTTATTTCTATTTGGTCAATTGTGATGTTTTGTTTCTTATTTTTGTTACTTGCATCTTTTTTCTTTGTCAGTCTTGTCAATTATATAGATATTTAAAAAAAATAAAATTCTAGTTTTATTGACTCTTTTTACTGTTTTTCTGTTTTTTATTTTATTTCTGTTCTGATATTTGATATCTCCTTTTTATGGTAGGTTTAGGTATAGTTTGCTCTTCTCTTTCTAGTTCTTGGAGTTGTTGAGTTTGGATGCTGATTTAAGATCACTCTTGTTTTTCCATGTAGGCATCTGTAAGTTTCCCTTTGAGTACGGCTTTTGCTGCATCTCGTAAGTTTTGGTACGTTGTTCTTTCATTTTCATTTGATTCTAAGAAGTTTGTGATTTCTGTTTTGATTTCTTCCTTGGCTGATTGGTAATTCAATACTGTGTTGTTTACTTTATAGATGTTCATGTATTTTCCAGGTTTTTTTTGTTTTTGTTTTATTTTGTTTTTCTATTATTGATTCCTACCTTCGTTATGTTGTGGTCAGAGAAAATATTTTGTATGATTTCAATCTTTTAAAATTTATTAAGACTTGGTTAGTAATCTATTGTCTGGCATAGACTAGAAAATAATCCCAGTGTATTGGAGTGGAATGTACGTTTTCCTATAGGTATGTTAACTCTAGTTGATTTATAGTGTCATTCAAGTCTTCTGTTTTTGTGTTGCTCATTTTCTAGAAGTTCTGTCAAATCTAATCAGATTTTGTGGCAAGAAGATATTAATAACTTTCCTATTTGTTCACAAAGTAATATAATAGTTCCATGATAAAACCAGTCCATCTTATTGGTAATGGGAAAATTGAATCATCCTCTAAATATCTTGCACTTCAAAAAAATTCTGGTGATTTGTTTTCAGGGTTTTGATGACTTCAAAGGCAAACTTTCATATTTATAGATGGGTCTTCCTCTAACCTTTAGGGTATATTCCTTTTTTAGCTAGCTTTCTTTAAGTATTCATATCTGATCTGGGAGAAGCATGAATGTGCTGAAGTAACTCTAGTCTTTTCTCTTTGCTCTGAGAGCTGCACATGCCCTGAAACCTGAATGAGAAATTGACAGTCACTTAATAAAATTAGTGACATTTTACATGGGAAAATGCTTCTTTTTTGGAGTCCATTGGTAGCCTTTCTCCTTCCGCTCCCTCCCTGACAGGAGTCATTGCTCAGCATTCCTGTTCCCATCATCAATGCGCAACACTAGTATAAGCACAATAGGACTTTACAGATCTCAAAGCACCAGCTATAGTAGGCACTATATAGCATTACTGGACTTTCTTAACAATTTAAAAACATATTTTAGAAAGTGAAGCTATAGATCATGGGGTAAAATTTAGAAATCCACATACATAGAGCCTTCTTGGGATCTATAAGTAGATTAATTGTTGCTAAGTGCCATCAAGTCAGTTCTGACAGAGACCCTTGTATAGGGTTTCTAAGAAGCAGTGGAAGGGTTTGAACTGCTGACCTTTTGATTCGTAGTTCAGTGCTGATCCTACGGTGTCACATCAGGAGTCCAAGTAGGTTAACTAGGGGCAGATTTTTAAATACCTTAGAAAAGTGGTGAGTTATTCTTACCATTCTGATATTGTGCAATACAGAGGAGGTGATACATTCCCAAGGACGCTTGTTGTGTAATTTCAGGATTCGAATGAGAACATAAAAGACACAGTTCTGCAGCCAGCTCACCCAAGCACGGAGCATCCACACTCATCTAAGAGAAATAAAGGAGAAAAATGCATTAGCGATGTGTGGTCAACATTAAATATCTGTATTTGCCCTTCTTATATGAATATATCTAACTGTAAATAGAGGCTGAGTTTCAGAATTTGGAAAATCTGTATTAAAATTTTTACTCTTTTGCTCAGCCTCAATTTCCTCATTTGTGAGAAGAAGATAAAAAAAAAAAAATGTGGTAACAGTTATTGTGAGTTAGCATTTATGACAAGACAGTTCCATGTAAAGAGGTTGGGACTAAGAATGATTCAGTTAATGTTAATTTCTTCTGCATAAGGCAAGTAACAATTTACAGGTAGCAGATTCCCAGAGTGCCAGGGAGGTGGTGAGTGAATGTCTAAAGCATATAGGCTTTCTTCTCCACACGTCAAATAGTTCAGGTGGCTCTAAATTACTGGAAAGTGCCGCTTTCCCTCCTGGGATGCTCTTATTCTGACCAGAAACATTCTTCTTCTTCTTTTTTTTTTTCAAATTCAGAGAATTTATTTCTGAAACTAAAGCTACTGCTACAATCGTAATGTATAGTTTTCTCCCAGAACTTTCTGAATATATTTTTGTTGTTAAGTACCGTGAAGTCAGTTCCAACTCATAGCAATCCTGTATATGGTTTCCAAGGCTTTAAATCTTTCTGGGAGCAGAAAGTTTCATCTTTTTCCCTCTGACTGGTGAGGTAGAATCACAGACTTGTTGTTCACAGTCCAGTGCTTATTGTATGGAGCTACCTCAGTGTGGACACATAGATGGCTCAAATATTGAGAGTTTCATCTTCACTAACTGGTTTGGCAAGATCAAATATTAATGAGAAAGGAAGTAGAGGTATTTGAGAAGCGATGACAGGTGGAAGAGGCATTTTGATTTTATGAACAATTTTTTTCCCCTTCAATTTCATGAGAGTAACTTTAAACATGCAGTCCTAGTGTGGCACTGTAGGATAGAACACTGGACCACAAAGTCAGTTTGAACCATTAAGGTCAGTAATTCAAACTGACCAGCAGCTCCTTGGAAACACTGTACAGGGTCACTATAAGTTGGAACCAACTCAATGCTACTTAACAACAACTTTAAACATGTAAGTTCAGCAAAATGATGACATGGCTATAGGGTCTTCTTGTCTCTAAGATTAGTGGTTACTTCTCCTAACTCTTGATGATTGGAAAAAATGTTGGTGATAGAAGTTAAGGTCCAAATGAAACCTTTAGGGGGATCCCAAAGCTGGTTTCTTTTTACCTCCTCCCATGCCCTTTATCCCTGCTCGCATGATTTTTGGCCATCCCACATCTGTGCCTCTGTCTCTGTATCTCCCTCTCTCACACACATACTCATTTCTAAAGAAGAGCTGGAAAGTGACCTGCATCATGGTCAAGGATATAATTGACTTTGATGGTATCAGAGTGATGGTATCAGTAGGAGAAGGAAAGATAATAAATCTCTTGCTTTTGTGGGTGTTCTCCTTGGATTCTTTCTACTCATACTCCTGTGTAGAGTCCTAGTAGGATAAGCTGTAGGATAAGCACCACAAGGTTGGTTTGAATCCCAAGGTCAGCAGTTCAAACCCATGAACCACTCCTTGGAAAGCTATACAGGGTTGATCTGAGTTCGAGCTGACTTCACGGCACTTAACAACAACAACAACATATTCCTGTGTGGAGTCTAACAGTAGTAAGACCACCTGGACCTTCCCCTTTCAGGCCTATCACCAGAGAATTTAGGAGCAGACCCTGTAGCTGCCTGTGCTCTTTATGGAGATGTGTTCTCTTTCTCTCAGATTCTTGTCGTTTAATTTTCAGTTTGTTTCTGTTTCCACCTCATGGAAAAACTCTTAAGGACTACCATCACACTATGACCAAAGGAAAAAGGAAGAAGAATTGTATTTTTCTATTAGGCACGATGTTGTTTTGTTGTTGTTAAGTGCTGTCAAGTTGCTTCTGACTCATAGCGATCCTGTATAGGGTTCCTGAGGAGCAGCTATTGGGCATGATGGTGGTGGTGGTTATGTGCTGTGGAGTCAGTTCTGACTCACAGCGACCCTGGACAGGGTTTCCAAGGCTGTAAATCTTTACAGGAGCAGAAAGCCTCATCTTTCTCCCTTGAAACAGCTGGTAGTTTCGAACTGCTGAGTTTAAGGTTCTCAGCCCGATTTGTAACCACTACGTTACCAGAGCTCCTATTGGGCATGATAGGTAGGTGGAATACTACTCATAGCTTAGCCCACTGAAGTTGGGAATCATCTATAAGGATGTGGCCCTAAAGTTTTACTGCTTTCCAGTTTTTGCCTGATTATCCCAGCTCATGAACTTACGGATGTATAGTTTTTGTTTTGTTTTGTTTTTTCAGATGAGTTGCTTTAATTCCAGGTGGTACAGAATTCTGGGCATAACAAAGATTGAAGAACAGCTCTGACAGGATTCTGGACTGGGTTTACTGACCACACAGCTAAGACAGGACTAAAAAGATAGACCATTGTAGGATTTCTTTTCTTCTTCTTTTTTTTTTTTTTTTCCTTAAAAAGTTTATTCTTAAATGTACAATAGGCTCCAAGACAACACTTCAATCTAACTCTAGGTGGCAAGAGCTGTCCTAGCAGGGAATTCACATGTTTAAGCAGAAATGGAATCAAGGGTTACCATTGCCACAGCCACAAAGAACAGCTTATTTTTTGCCAGATTTTTTAATTCCACCGGTGACCAGGGACCCTTCCCCGTGGCCTTCACTTGTAGCTCTTCGACTTTCTTCTGCCCTTCTTTTTGTTTCTGCTTGAAAGCCGTGCCTTCCTCATCCATTTCCTCTTTCTGATTTTTGGGTTGTTTCAGGGGCTTCTTTTTACCACCTTTGTGGCCCGACATGGCACCTGCCTCCCCTTCCCCAGGCCTGCCACAGAAAGCAGCCTGGATGTAAAGTTCTTAGCAGATATTTTTGTAAATTAAGCTACTATCAATTTCTGTCTATTCTGTTTGCTAGACAGGGTCGGTCTAGGTGTGTGTCTCCAGCAGAGTTGAGGAAGCCATGTCTAGATTGCATTTCTACTTATTTTAATTCACTAATAGCAACGCTTGAGGAGCTATGGTGTGACCTAGACTAAGCCAAAAGTGGAGTAAACTGCATGGACCCAAATGCCCACTCATTCTGCCCTGCATAGTCCCTTCAGAAGCATGACAAGCAGAGTCACAGCTCTTCACTAGATTTCGAGGACTTTTAATTTAATATGATCCTGCTTTAATAGAAAATATATCCAAGTATTCCTGCAAAGAAGTAAAGAGTTAAAAACTGGAGAATAGTATCTTCTCAAAGTACACTTTTAAGTCTAAGTATTTCTTCTTAGTTGTTATTTTTTTCCCCCTTTCTTTTTTTCCCCCCATACAAAGCATATGGTATCCTTTGTAGATCTGGCTTCTCCCATTCCTTATCTTAACAATAATTATAGTTTCAGGTATTTAAATTCTAGAAACAACCACTTCTGAGTTTTTCAGCTGCTTCTTCAGAAGTTATTTCTGTAACTCTAAACAAAGCACTTCCAGTCTGTCTCTGATATCAATTTGAGACATTGTTTATCTATTCGTGCCATGTTAGGTTTTAGCTCACTTACACTCCTCCACCTTGCAACAATCCTCTCAGTACTGTTTTTTTTTTTTTCCTTAAATGTTTTATTGTGAATTATGTGATAGTTTACATGGGAGAACATTAGTTTTACATTCATT